TGTACTTATTGGAATTCGTCTTTGGCTTAGCTATGAAAACAGAAAGCCCAAAACAAAGAGTCAAATAGTGGTCCAATTAATCCTTATATCCACTGTAACGCATGCATGAGCAGGTGAGGAGAGAAGATAGCTACGAGAGGAGGGGACGTAAGCGAGGAATTACTGTAGTGTGCTTGTGTGTGTATTTTTATTGCATGCTAGTCCTGGGTAGCAGGTTATCATGAGAGCACACAGACCTTAATAGAAAATGGCTGTGTTGTCCTCCGTCTCATTTGAAATGTGGCGCAGGACGACAGTTTTTTTTTTTTTTTTTTTTTTTCTAAGTTGCATGCCATCTCAGGCAGGAGAAAAACCTCTTAAGAGATACACACACACTCAAACACACAGTCCTTTTAATGCTGACCAAGCTATCATGGGGAAAATGAATAAATGGATGAAATGATGAAATGTGGCATGATTTTTTAGGATGGGAAAAATACCTGGGTGAAGTGGGGGATGAGAGGAGCAAGAGAGACGAATTACGAGATAGAAACAAGAATGAGCGAGAGAAAGAAAGAAAGTGGAAGCTGGTGACAAATTGCAAATGCTCTGTAGCAGCCCTGACTGACAGGCCAATCATCTTGCCAGCACATCTTGAGGCACTGCCAGGCTGACTGTTATTAATTGAAATGTGATTGGAGGATGGGGGGCGGAGGGGTGGTGGTGGTGGGGGGTTGGGCGCCCGCAATCTAATCCACATCAGAGCAATTAATAACACATTCACTCTTCTCCTCTTCTCTCCCCTCCACTCTCATCACCATTGATATTTCCAATGGTGACTAGAAATTAGAAAAAGGAGGGAGAAATAATTGAAAAGGGATAATTCCGAGAGGGGAGCTGGGGGCAAAGATGGAATTGGAAAGGGGGATTAATTTGTGCAACAATTCAGGGGGCTGCCCAGGGGGTATTTTTGTATTTTTTTTATTCCCTGAGAGATTTGGCTAAGGCCAAAATCTCAGGACTGCTTTCCATTCATTCTGTGTAGCACGGGGAGAGTTCAGGTTCATTAACTTCCTCTTGATCAAGCTTTAAATAGGCAGGAGGTGTTGGCAGAAGTACTTATCCAGCAAACGTCAGCTTCCAGCCAGAAAGTAAAGTTAAGGTCATATTAAGATTTTAAAGCATGCGGGGGCAGAACTGTCGGAGCAGAATGTGTTAGCGGAATAAATCATCATTATGTATGTAAGCCATGTTTTTTTCTAAAGCCATTAAAGGCACGGTTGGTAAGTTGTTTCTGAAACAAATTATCTTATTTGTTGAATTCCTCTCACGTCCCGATACCCATCAATAAATCGTCATCTGAAAAACCTGAAAACAGGCACTGTGGCCCTCGCAGGACTGGAATAAACGTGTTGGTGGGTGTACCTGTTATCAGTTAGTAAACAAGCATTGAGCAGATGTCAGTCAGTGAGTGTGCATGTGTTATGAAGTTGTAGCTTTTACAAGAGGGTGTTGGGATGTTTCAGATGCATATTTAAAAAAGTGTAGCCTGCTCTTGCCAGCTTTTCCAATATTACCAACCCTAGCTTTAGCCCCTAGCACAGACCAGGTTTGAGTCAGCTGTGGGGCTTCTTAATGAGCTGCTGCCTTGACACATGCCCTCAACATTTTCTGTTTTAGTCCGAACACATCAGACTTTAGCAAAAGGAAAAAAAAAAACATTTAATTAGCACATTTAAATCTGGACTTGATTTAGTTTTGTGCCTTCTAATCATCCAGATCCTCTAGTGTGTGTGTGGATTCATCTTTCATTGAATGCACTACTCCATATTGGAGAAATGAAAACCTCACAGTTTACATCCTTAGCCAACGTACAGAGCTAGTGTAAGTACTGTGCCGTCCTTGACGCGATGCTGGCAGCAAAGCTGTGTTGTTGTTTCTTGTATATAAAAGTATATCTTGTGGTAATTGTGTCTTAGTTTCCTAACTGGTACCATTTCTTAACCAAAGCTGTTCTGTCACATAGTTTCTTACAAATATTGGATTTCATGAGGCCTGTGATGTATGTAGGATTTTTACTTACACATTTTACATCTGGCCCCAGGTGTATTCTTTTCTGGGCTGAATCTGAATGTCCCCACACAGTTCATCCTTGAACGCTGAAATGCTCGGTATGAATATGTTAATGTATAGTGGTACAAGCAGTGAGCTCTTCAGGCTGAGGGATGTCAGAATATCAAATACGAGTTCAGTATTTGAAAATCCTGTATATTGGAGCTTTGGGCCTTTACTGTAACAAATCAACTGAAGAGGACCTAAAGTTAAAACTATCATTGATAAATGCAAAAATGATCATTTTGCCAGAGGTAGCACCGAATTTCTATCAAAAACAAGGATGTGGCACCAAACGTGTTTAAAAACATCTTTTTAATACATTAGTACTGGAGTGAACTGCTTTAATTGGCATTTTTCATTAGTTATTTTCTTTTCCCTTTTAAAGTATCTTTACTTGTTTTTCACATTTCCTTTTGAGAAACTCATTTATGCTTGGGGCTGAAGGAATAGTCAAGGTCTCAAGTGTCGACCATCAATACAACATTTTAAGTTGATTCACTTGTCCTTGGTCTTTGAAAAATTGGAACAATTTGAGCAAAAGAAATATTTAAAACAAATTATTTGACTATTCATTCATTTGGAATTTTAGCTTGAAATCTGCATTAACATCCCAGATGATGAATGTTTCCAGCACTGCATGTTCAGCTTGAGTTTCACATATCAACGTAGGTGTCACATTGACACCTGAGTTGATGTGTGAATAGAAGCCAGTCATTGTCTGTTATGAAGCCCTCACGTAAAGCAAACTCCAGAAGAACAGAGGATCTGTGGGCGCGTACTACACCCGTCAAAGAGCAGAATCAGCTGTCATTGTCCAGAGTCCGTATGTTACAACGATTATTGTGTTTCCTTGAATGTGACCTCCAAATACAACAGCTGCACAAACTCTGGAGCTGGACAACATCTTATATCAGCCATCAAGGTTTCACAATTTAAATTCCAGTAAATGTTCAACTGTATGCTGCAAGTTTACGAGCATAGGCGAGAGGGGAACCTCAGCTTTTAATGCACACCGATTTACTGGAGGTTTTTATTTCTCTGTCTCTTAGAAAACAAATCTTTTTGTCAGTTTTACCCTGACATTCTCCCTCTGTCTGAGAGCCCTTGTTCTGTGTGGGAGCACACACACTTGCAAATTACAAATTCTGCCTCAGTCAAATGACTCCCTATTGAGTAAGGACTGCCATTATAAGTGAAGCCACATCATTGTGAACATCTGTAGTCAGAAGTGAAAGACTCTGAAAGGAATCCAGCAGCACAGAGAAAATCTGTTCAAAACTTAAGGTCTTAGCTCTGTCTGCGCAACCTTGGCCCTTTATATTCAGGAACACTCCCGTTCTGAGACCTTAGAGCCTGAATACCATTTGTGAAATGGTTTGAAAAACATTTGAGAGAATAAATGAAAGAAAGTAATTTCTGATGTGTAGCTCGGTGGGAACAGTGATTCTCCTCTTACTTAACAGGCGAGAGAAGAGACTACAATATTACAAAACAGACCACAGAGTGTTCGAGATCATGCAGCAAATTAGTTGACTGACGCAATAAGTTTGATTTTAGCCTTGGAAAGATTTTTCAATATGTAATCTGAAGTCTGAAATATTTACACCTTAAATTTAGTTTATATGATCCTGAATTTAGTACTTACAGTAGGAAATACAGTTTTCTGTTGGTTTCTTCCCACTGAAGCTTTTATTTGTGCTTATAGACAATCAATCATTGTGCAGGACCTTACAGTCTGAAACGCAGACCACACCAGAAGAGGCACATGAAAAATGAGGCAGGAAGGGAAGGATGGGAAAGAAAAAAGTAGAAAGTGAGTAAGAAACATTAGCCACAAATGAGGAAGGTGTGTGTGTCCACAAAATGTGGTTGTGTGTTACGTGTAACTTTACAGGGAATGTGTTTTTTTCATATATACTGAAATATGACATATCTTTTTGCATAATTGGTTGGGGAAGGTTCCTTCTATCATTGCTTTCTGCCCCAAAAACAGCCAGAGGGTAAAAACAGTGGGATTCACCGATGACCAATTAAATCTCTTATTTAATCTTAATTAATATTTGTGAAGTCCAGGTCTTCTCCCATTCAGAGCACAGTAAAGTGTCTTGTTCTCCATTTACACTGTGGGTAATCTATACCTAGTTTTCTGCAGCAGGACATTGCAAGCTTCATAATGTTTTTCAAAATGCTATTCTTTTGTGCTGAAAAACAAATATTTAGCTTATTTATAACTATAACATCATCCTACTAAGTTCACCCCTGCTGTCAACAAGTAAAGAGAAAGGCATTGAGCGAATGTCGGATCGAGGGAAATGTGTCGATGTCTCTAATGAGCCGGCCCTGTCCAAGACTGCTTGCCCCCCCCCCTTGCAGTGGAGGACGATCCGTTAAGAATGCAGGGCTGGCTGCCTGTTCTGGATTAATCACAGCCACTGACCGGAGGAAATCAATGAGCTAAATGCTAACACTTTGGCCAGGACACAGACAGAAAAGCTGGTCTGTTAGCAGAGGCAAGAGGTGACGCTCTCACTCCACATGGACAGCTGTACACAGAGAGAAAGAGAGATGCAGTGATCAGAGTGTTTCTCTAACTGTTGGCTCTCCGTCCTGTGGATATTGGCTTATATGACAACAATCATTTTCTTGTGTGATACACGCGTCGGCCGATGCGTAGGTATCGATGACATCTAAATGTCTTTTTACATGTCCAGTTCTTCTGTCCTTGACTGACAGAGCATACTGGTATGAAGTTGTCCCAACCCCTTTCCTTGTTGTTCCTCCACATTGTGACAATGACACAAATATCATAATACTGTACCTGTGGGATTTAAGTTTTTTAATCATAGGAATCTACTGTATATCGATTGTGTGTACCTCTCCTCATTCCTTTCTCTCTGTCGTCTCAGGCCAGGTCTGGCACTGGCATTAGAGCATATGAAGACTGTGACGCTGCTGGAATCGAGGAACAGAAGAGGTAATATTACAGACATATGATGAATCAACAACAAAATCAATGATAAAAATCAATTCTCTTTAGCAATAACACAATAGCAGTTTCTTTATGTTCTTTCTCAAACCTGTTCCCATAGACTGCATATAAAGATGACTGCTCCCCAAAAGTGAGGTCATCTAGCATCTAGACTTTATTGTAGGCTACTGAGAATTTTGACCAGATGAAGTCAGTGTCACTGGTCAGCGTATGTTTGCTTTGCCTGGACCCACACTGTAGGATCAGGTCGATTCCAGGGCCCATACAGCACAATTGTTGGATACTTACTGGTTCACAGCTGATCTGAACAAATGGTCGTGTAGTGTGAGGGGGTTACAGACATAATCTTATTGTCAATGACTGGATCTGAGTCTCCTTGATTTCAAATTGTAAATATCAGGCATGATTGATATTTAGCTGAGTTGAAATCAGGGAGACTTGGACCTATTGATGTCTGAGGAACAGCAGTTGGGTGTTAACTGAAACTCGCATCAACCCAATGAGATCGTGCTGACGGGGAAATGTCACCAATCGAATGTTACATTCTTGTGTTTAGATGATCGTGGTTAAAATAAATCCAACATGACTGTTACAGTGGATGAGGAATAAACAAAGACCTCCTGTGTCAAAGTGCCACACTTATGTTACACACTGTACGCCATGTTTTTCTCGTCCCATCCTCATCCCTGACAGCTGTAATAACATCTCTCTACTTACACCTCGTCAGAGCTCCTCACACATAAATTGCTTCAGACACTAGAACGAGTGTTTCTGCGTTCCTAGTGAAGAATGTCTCTTAATTTCTTCTGCAACGTCCTCGTCTTTATTTCTTCTCCCTAAGTTGATTTTGACCTTTTTCTTTTATTTCACTCTGCCCTCTTTCCTCTTATCTTGTCTCTCATTTTATCTCACATTTTCTTGTTGTATCGGCTGTGCACACTTTTCTTTAATTTCCCTGCCTTTTCTCCCTGTCGTTCGTTTTCTCTCGCTCCTCCTGAAGCCTCCTTTTCCGTCTCTTGTTCACTCTTTTTCCATTTAACTCCCTTTATTTCCTCTCCCTCTCTCATTCTGGTGGCCATACAATCTCACCCCTCCTCCGTATCTCTTTTGTATGTATCCATCTTATTGATACCTCCTCTTTCTGCTTCTCCCCCCCATCCCTCCATCTCTGGGTCTCACCAGTTGTTTACGCCTCCTCAGTGAGTGCTATTACAGCATCACTTTGCATTTAGATAACCATCGCCTCGTCACCTCAAATTGGTCAGGAGCACGAGCAGGGGGATAAAGAGAGGGGGATGGAGGAGGAGGAATAGGAGGAGGAGGAGGTGATGTGGAGGTTTAAGCCGAATCTTTCCTGGAGAAATAATTGCAGATGTTGGAGCCCCAGCGAACACTGACATGTAGGGAAATTTTAGAGGAAATACAGACCAGCAATTTTACCACTGGCAATTATGATCAACAGCATTTTTTCCATTACACTTTCATTCTGCCGCTCCCTGCTGTGTCATCCACACACATTTATTTTATTCCTGAATTCCTCTCTATCCTCAGCCCTCGAGTTAAGCCAAAATGAGTTGCGGTGTAATGTCTCATGACAACTGCTCCACTTTCAAAGCCAAGGAACCTGAGCTGGGTGAGCAGGGAAACTTGTGAAAATTAAATGTAATAATTCATCATGTGTCCCGGAAAAAGAAAACATCTGTAATTTTTACTGATACACATCAACGAAACAGTTCTTGTTATTGCTGCTTTTACCTCACAGACAACAAGCGTGTGTGCGTGCGTGTGCGTGCATGCATGCGTGCGTGCGTGCGCATGTGTGTGTGTGTGTCACACATCTACGTCACCATAGCAATGACAATAAATAAAGCGGAACACAACAATAAAACACTTTTCAAGCAATAAGCACAAAGTGCTTTTTCGAAGTAAAAAATCCAAAACATAATAAACAACAAGAAAGCTATACTGTCAATATACGGTAATTTTCACCCAGTTGAAGTTTCCAATTGAGCAGTTTGTCTGAAAACTAAATCAAGTGATGTGGTTAAAGTGTGTTTACAAGCATCAAAGTGTGTGATTGGAATATATGTAGAGGAACTTGTCTCAAATATTTGTATTCCGACAGCATCTAAAGTAAAAAACGCATACAGCTCTTGATGATGCACATTACAGTTCCAGGATCATTTTGTCAGCCACTAATGACTTTATAAGACAACTGTAATATAGTGGAAATTACACTGTCAGAAACTCAAACTAAAAACCCATGTGTTTGAAAGATAGTGATTTAAAGAAAAGCTCTGGTGTACAATTAAAAAATTAAACATACAGTGTAGCAGCTGAAGCTGAGGTGCAAAGAACACATTTGAAAGAGGTTATGACTTCTGTGTGTGTGTGTACGACCACATCACAAGCTCTAAATCTTTTTGAACCTAATTTAGACCTGTAGACCAGTTAGAAAAGCAACACACTTACTGCACCCACGCACACACTCTTATATCTTCCAGGTTTAATTATTGTACTTCCCTCATCAAATCGTCCCTTCAGCGCCAAAATGCTCCAGAATTCTGCTGCAAGGCTACCGACTGGATCCAAAAAGACAACCGACATCATATCCATTCTCTATTCTTTATATCGGCTTTCCATTAGATTCAGAACTAATTTCAAGGTTCTCATTAAAGCACTCCAGGGCCAGATACACACACACACACACACACACACACACACACACACACACACACACACGTGTACATTTTGTTAAAGGTAATGATGAGTGGCACATGGTGAAGAAAGTGAACATGCCAAATGTAGCTTGACAGAGCATCTGAGAGTAAATAATAAATGAAAAACTATGTTAATGTTTAATTTTTAGTAAAGATTATTCATGATTTTCACCCCTGAGCTGTCAAACATCATCATAACTTAATAGAAAACAATCTCTATTGAGCAAAAAGTAAAAAATGGTGTTATTGTTTCACTTTGTGGTTTCATTTCTTGGCAGTGAACAATCACTGACAAAACATTGACTTAATAAATAAATGAATATGAGTCAGAATCGGGGTGTTTCACTGGGGAATAAAGTGTATTATACTGAATCATACTGGAGAGGAAACAATGAGCAGAGCAGAGAGAAGCTGTAAATGCCGTGGATGAAAAGCAGCTTTAGTCCAGCTCTGTTTCTCTGTGGTCTTGGAAACAATATATGAACAAAAGCCTGTCCCCTTGTTCTCTCTGTAGCTGTTCTTCACTGGGCCTCGAGCTCACAGATGTTGCAGTTTCAAAGGTGGAAAGCTAGTTAGCTGTAGCATCAGCAGCCTCCCCTGCTGTTCATCAGGCCGGGCCGGCTGTAATTACAGACGGAAAAGGAGGACGCTAGAGAGTAGTGTGTGTGTGTGTGTGTGTGTGTGTGTGTGTCTGTGTGTGTCTGTGTGTGTGTGTCGGTCAGACAGTCGTTATCCCTATGTGGCATGCGTGGGTGTGCATCATATGTGCGATAGAGATCAAGCAGGGACAATACAGGAGCAAAGAAGCCTCGATGCCCTTTGAGCGGCTGCACTAAAAGAGTCCCCCACCACCCACTCTTTCTTTTTCTCTTGCCCTCCATCTCTCCATGTGTCACCAGATTCATTCTTTTTCACCAGACTCCCCTCCATCTCTCAAGTCTGCTTTCCTCATCTAGTCCTTTCTCTTTGTAATTCCTGCCATATTTGTTCTCAGAGCTGGGTCTAACATCACAATGATCACGCTGATATTTTGGTGCTGATGAAAATCAAAACTGAATCCAGTAATCAAAACAAAAACAGACTTAAGCCAAATGAAGAAACAATACATCACCAGATCTTGACAACTGTACACATGGAAAACTTTTAAAAACAAAACTGAAGAAAGTTAATTTGATTTTTGTCAAAAAGGAATTAAAAAAGGACAAAAACAGTTATTTTTAATACCTAATTAGTTTCTTTTTCAGGCGGCTCTCTGTGGAGATTTAATTATGATTTGGCATCAGGCGGCGTTTTGGGGATGAAATGGAAGTTATTGATCAAGGCTCTGTTGGAAGGCTGTAAAGATGGAAGGAGATACAAGCACAACCAGAAAATGAGAGAGAGATTGTGGAGCTGGAAACACATTTTCATTCACACCATGGGCAGTGACGTGCTGACAAGCCGTGCACACCAAGATGTGTGTTGGCCGCAGAGCCATTTCGCTTGCATCAGTATTTGCACTAAAGCAGCAACGCTTTTATGAAATGTCTGTTTTTCTTTTTTTTCTTTTTGCTCGTTGATGTAATGATTCAGCTGCTGGCGGCTTCTGAAAGCTGCTCTCTCTGTCTCACCGGAAGAATTCTTTCAGCGCACAGGAAGTAATGTGTTGTCCTGTTCTACTTTGTTGAAAATACAGTATACATAATATATATGTAATAACATAAGGGTGAAAGTAAATAAACATATCAATACTCCTGCGGATCAGCCCAGGGAAGGGTGTTCTGGTGGATAATAGAGGAGCCTGGTTGAGCAGCTGAAGTATATTTAAACATAAACATGTATTTAAATGTGGATTCTTGGGAGAACGACACATTAAAGCTGCAGTTATCAGTAATTGAATTGGCAATGGAACTGATTTATGTGTTATGTGATATAATGCCTAACAAACAGAGGATTGCTCTTAGTTCTGTGGTTCCCTTCAGCTCAGTGGAGCATTTTAGTATCTTTCAGCTTGATTTGGATTTTCATCTCATGCTTTTTTTGGCTGAGTCACATGGCTCTCCAATTTTGTGACAAGGCACTGACATAATAAAACAAACCTAAGCCCTGAGTTGTGTGTCGCAGAACATCATGCATTTCATTTTGGCGTCCATGTTATCAGGATAGAGGCTCCATGCTGCTCTTCTAGAGAGTCTGGGTTTCTTCTTCACATGCCACGCATGGTTCATAACAAACTAGGGAGTGAAATGATATTTCACCACAGTTTCAATGTAAATCAGTGGAATATGTATGAATATATATCCTGTTCCTGTTTCAAAGTAAAAGCACTTGTTTTTGTTTGCATTTCTGTTGACTGAATTATTCATTTGTTTTAACAAGGTTTTTAGTGTTACTGCAGGACCAGGAGATGCACTGCTTCATACTGTGGAGTCCTGGCAGTAAGCTGAATACAATGGATGCTTTTATTTGAGGAAATAGTCATACCAAAAACCTCACGCTTTGACACGCACCTTGTGTAGCGCGGGCGTTACCATTTTTATTCAGTTGTTTTACCATTTTATTGGCACAAACACTCGATTGTGCCCAGTGCTAATGTGGGAGGACTTGGTTATGAAATTTTCACCAGGTACTGAACAAAGAAAGTCTTCCCTTACATAGATACATCACTATGCATGTCAGAGGTGCAGTGGAAGAGCATTGTACCCGGAAGGCTGTGCAGAGTTACCTCCTGTAAGACGTTATCTCTCTGCTCTGCTGTTTTTCTACTTTTATTTCAGTTGTGGAATATACCTGATATTTTCAGCATTGTGAAGTCACTATCGGTTTTATCCCGTAGTGTAATAGTAAATAGATACGTGTATGGCAGTGTACCCTCCAGTCAGTGATCATGAAAAGACGGGCATAAATATGGACACACTTTATCTCATGCGCTTCCCATTTTCCTCTTCCTTATTCTAATAACTCACAAGAAATTGAACTATTATTCATCGCAGCTTATAGAGATGGTAACCTCTGTGTCACCGATAAATCAGACACATTTGCTCTCAGATGAATCAGGCTCCTGCTTTTTAACATCCATAAACACAAATCTTTTAAAGTTTAATATAAAGCTGGTTTTAATTTATAAGGATTTCAGCTACACGAGCAGATCTGAGCACATATGGATGACTCAGAGGTTTTTACACTGAGAAACCTGCAGTGACTTGTCAAGCAGTTCCCGTAAAACAATGGGACTTAGAGGGAAGGATGTTCATGCATGCACATGTGCATCCACTAGTGCTGTAATCTGAGCAGCTGAGTGTCATCCATGTAACCACATCCTCTTCCTCGGTGTGGAGAGGAGGAACCCGAGCCTTCATCTCCCTGTATGTAAAAGTCCCTCGTCATCACTAATATGGGCAAGAATATCAGCATTTAATATGCACAAGGGGACTACAGAGGTCAGAGCAGGGGCCCAGGATAAGGAAATACTGCGCACATTCATGCAGATGAACAGAAGGTGGTGGAACTGGAAAACACACACATCCTCTTCTTTTTTACCATGGGAGTCATGTTGGCAAAACATGAAAAAATGATATCATCCCTAGTACTGTGATGTCTTTTACCTCAATCATCTGGACCCAGAGGAGATAGAGTCTCATATGGGCACAAAGTTTGAAGGGTTTAAGAGTCTGGAACTGAGGCGGGCAGACTCAGTTCATTTACTCACACACACACGCGCACACACACACGTTTTTACTTATATCTTAGTGAGGACACTCATTGGCATAATGCATTCCCTATCCCCTTACCCTAACCTTAACCACCGCAACTAAATACCTAACCCTCCCTTAACCTAAACCTAATTCTAACCCTAAAACCAAGTTTTAACCCCCAAACAGTCCATCAGACGTGGGTCAGAAGGTCAGGACCGGCAAAAATGTCCTCACTCTGTAGGTTGTGAGCTCATAATGGTCCATACAAAGATACCAGTACATCTCACACACACACACACACACACACACACACACACACACACTATGTCATGTGTCCATGACTTCAGAGGATATAACATTGACTTACATTGATTTCCTGGAGACACCACTCTTAACCTGGACTTTTTGGAGGAACAATCATCATAGCAGCAGTCTTTCATCAAGGGAATATCAAAGACACTGATTCCAGTAAATAACTTTATGTCATTTATGCGCCTCAACCACACTCTGTATTGAACACAGTAAACCACAGTCTGTGCCGGGTCCAATGCTGCCACCTATGAGCGCCATGGAGCGTTGCGTCTGGCGTTCCGCTGTTACGCAGTCACGCTGCCAGGGGGCGCACTCCTGTCACCAACCCCTCTCCCTCCCTCTCTCTCTCTCTCTCTCTCTCTCTTTCTCTTTACCAGGGGATGCCGGAGTCTGAGCGCAGCTCCTCTCTCATTCATGCTGAGCGCTGCTCTCCTGTGCGCACGGAGCTGCAGAGCTGAGCTTTGGAACCTCGTACCGCCGCCGCCGCTGCTGCTGTCTGACAAGCCCGCTGGGAATGGAAATGTCTTCTGCTGCCACTCTCACATCCCACTAACATGCCAAACAGGACGGACGCGACGGAGGGATTGATGCGTAAGTACCGCCAAACTTTTTCTAGTTGTTCTCTATGTGCGTCTTGGAGCTCGGTGACATCCATGTCTTTCCCCGACCCTTCCTCTCTCCTCCGCCTGTCCTCCCTCATACCTCCCACCGATGTCTCTCTCCCAGCATCGCCTCCTAAAGAGAACACACACGGACCAGTCATGTGCTGCAGGGCATAAGAGGGTTTTTGTGTTGTGTCATATATTGCGCACCGAGACATCGCATGGCTTGTTGGGGGGAGAAGCAAGCAGACGCACGCTGAGGATGCGGGTGGACGGATGTCTGAAGTGAACTGACCGTCACCCATCATTTTGTTCCTCCTCTGGTGGTGTTAGTCAAGTTGTGGTGAGAGGGTGAAGGATATTTTTTACCTTACTGGCAATGAGCTGCGGATTTAGGATGCAGTGTGGCACTGGGTATAGGCTGCCAGTGTGTTATTGTGCGTTCTAGTGTGAGCTCCTCGGGCTGTTTTATGTGCCACATGCCCGGGCTTTAATGTTCCTATGGCATGTCACCGGAGCACGCACTGTAGGAATGTGGTCGCATGATGCAATTAGACTTTCTACCTTATTTGCTATAAACCATCCGTTGTGCAACATACACACACACGCACGTATAAAAGTATTACAGGAGTTTTGCATTTGGTTCAGTTGTGGTTTTATTTGATGACTCTGTGCTGCATCTTTGAAACACACTTTGTGCGCGTGCATGTGTATATAGCTTATATGATTGTGTGCGTGCCGGGCCAGCTCTCCTGCAGTGACACCACGCAGTGTATGTGCATGTGTGCAAGTTTGTACGTGCATGCAGCAATTGAATGTGTGTTAGTGTGTGTTAGTGTCTGCCCCATACTCACCCACACACACACACACACACATTTATAGCATCATCATTTTGGAGACGCATCAACGTGCTTTGACAGTTTTGTGTCACCTTATGAATTTTTGACTTGAAATGCGTAGGTGAGGCAGACGGGCTGATTTTGAGAGACAACGGGCGCCAAGCCACCGCTTTGGCTGCCAAGCACATAGAGGAAATCTCTTTAGGTGTGTGTGTGTGTGTGTGTGTGTGTGTGAGTGAGAGGGAGAGGAAGGAAAGAGTCTTCTCTGAACATCCTCTCATCTCCTTTTCTCTCCTCTTATCTCACTCGGGGGTGAACTTGTGAGGATGTGTCTTTGTGTGTGTATGTGTGTGTGTGAGAAAAATGATGTGGGAGCTTTGGAGGAGATGCAAAGAGATGTATGGGGAAGTCAGACTTCTTCCCCTCTCTCTTCAGTGTGTGCATGTGTGTCATGATGTTCCTGTGCTGGGACGCGTTGATAAGACAGAAACCCTGTACATCACCTCCACTTTGTAGCAGAGGCGTGACATCCAAAGTGACTGCATGCACGGCTATAGTGACATGATGACTGTGAAGCATATTACTTCTCATAACTCTTATAGTCGCACACTGTTTTCAGAGGTTTTAGCCCAAAATGAGCCAGAATCATACTCAAACGACAGCGGCGCAGCATGTGCCTTGAGCTTCCTGTAACCTAATTACCTAGTTTATTCTTGGAGTCTTTTATTATTAATTTGTTCTTCGAGGAGATCATGCTTTCTCTCCGCTCTCTATGTATCCACCTTTCTATGTATCACAGGCGTTCTGTGTGTGCTGTAACTAATGCTCAGTCACATTTAAAGGGACATCTAGGATGACACATCCCATGTGAGACAAGTGTCTTCTGTTCCATCTTGCTTTCTCTCCGCTCTCTATGTATCCACCTTTCTATGTATCACAGGCGTTCTGTGTGTGCTGTAACTAATGCTCAGTCACATTTAAAGGGACATCTAGGATGACACATCCCATGTGAGACAAGTGTCTTCTGTTCCGTCACACAGTTAAAGCAACCCTATCATAATTTCTTGCTTTCTTTAAAGCTTCAGAAGTAGGACTACTCCTATATGAGGCGACTGATGCTGTGTTTATGGCACACCGTTAATAAGGGATGTGCAATCATGCATTGCCTGAACGTAGGCTTCATCTGACAGTTTTATGTGATTATCAGAGATTAATCTGTTATATTGTCGTGATATTCTTAAGTTCTGCTGTAGATAATGCAGTGACATGTTAAGATTAGTGGTGAGGTACGTTTTCTTGGGTGCGTAGTTGAATGGCCTTATTCTTTGTTCACGGATGAAGCTTCTTTTACTGTTGGCCCGAGTCTATTCCTCATGGAGCTGCATTGACACTGACTTTTATTGGCCACATTATAAGTGAGAGTGGACTCAGCAGGCTCACCACCTTGCCCAGCGGGAAACCATTGTGTTTGGGCGAAAGCACCAACCGCCTCAGGAAGAGTGTGTGTCTGTGTGTGTGTGTGTGTGTCTGTGCGTGTGTTTGTGTTTGAGGTCAGGGAGGCGGCGGTGCTGGAGTCGTGTCTGTGCTCTCAGCCCTCAGTGGCTCAGACCCCAGCTGAGATGAGAGCACCAGACAATCGACAATGCACCCTGCGGTCCGGCTGCGTCGAGCAGCTACACAGCCTCAAATGCCTGTAATAAATAATCCAGGGAGGACAGGTGGGAATAACATAACAATAAAGCAGATTGGTTATGCTGTTATTAACTGTTGCAGATTGAAAAGCACGCAGAGGAAGGATGTATTGTCATAGCATGTTCACATGATAACAGGGCGTTTAGCTGAGGGTTTTTATTCTACGTGCCTTTACAGTGTATGAGCAGCTTGCAGATTTCAATGAAGTAAGATATGAAGCATGTGATATGATAACACCAAGTAAGACCAATAGAAATGTTGCACTCGATCACGTACTTGCTGAAGTGTGACGTGATCGACTCATCTCTTGTCTGTCTCAGTCCCTCCAATAAGTAGGTATCAGTTTTAAGTGATACTTTGATATTTATTAATATACATGTCCATGACAGTCCATAATTTAAAAATGTATAAGATACAATAAGTTTACATTTTATTATCAGACTGCTCTACTGAAATAGGTCATGTGTCCCAACACAAGTTTCAAATAAATGACAACAAAAACTTCAATGCCACACATTACGAAAGAATGGCTGCTGTGCAATTATTATTATCAGTCCCTTTAATTTAGTGTTCCTTCCACACTGAGGTTACTTAGAGATCCAACTTTGATTTAACAGTTTGACAGACTGATGAGCAAATGAGTTCTGCAGTCTGTTCAGTCGAGCCTGTGAGACTCCAAATCTTCTGCTTGATGGCAAAAGCTGATATTCTTCAAATAAGATATAAGAGATGTGCCCGAGACAACATTCTTTTAAAATAGGCAGCTTGAAACTCGACACAAGCATTAAAATCTTTGAGGAGATCCTTGCAGTGCTTTAAGCTGGACAGTCCGTCATCTGTACCATACACTGATTCCATACTGCGTAACACTGCATTATTGATTTGAAAAACAATACCAGGATCTCTTAGATCATTAACTGCGGAGGCTGGAGAATCACATTCCCCTGGAGTCCAGACAATTGTAGCGGTCAGGTAACGCCACTGGGTGGAAAATGTCTCAGTTGAGGATCGTGGTTGGATGTCCAGTTACAAGTCCGAAAGTAAGAATATCCCAATGATTTTTAAAGAACAGTGTCCCACCATCATCTTGCTGAAGGAATGTGGGCAGTAAATATAATATATAATAAACATATATTCTATTCTGCTGTTGTGTTGAATTCAACAGTAAAGTGATATCGTAGATGAACCACTTTATCTTGTTTTTCCTCTTCCTTTCCTGATCAGCCAGTAACTGAGTGTTTACAGCTTCCAATTTCTAAACAGAGAAACAGAGGATGAGAGAAAAATCAAGAGAGAGAGGAAGAGTGAGGCAATGGAGCTTTTAAGTTCTCGGCATCTTTTTGATGCAGCCTCCGAGCTGAAAGGCCACAGTAGATCAAACAGGGCAGGCGGATTGGAACAGTTTCTGTTGTAAGGGGAAGACACGATTCGGCGCTGCACAGAGGCGACAGGTAAACTCAGTGGAGGTGGCGCCCACTTTTACTCGCTGCCTCATTGTAAACACTCGATTCCAAAGTTCAAAATAAAACTTGCAAGAAGCTTAATTGTCGTTAGCAACCGCGTTCAGGATTTTCAAGCGAGACGAGAGGCGTGTGGGTGGATGGGGGGAGTTATTTCCTATTCTGGTGTGAGCAAGGATAATTCTGCCATTGTTTTGTCAGCAATTAAAAGAATTTCAGCAACCCATTTTCTCCTGCTGCTGCTGCAGACCGTGCAGTGTGTGTTTGTTGTCCCAAATGGCCAATTTCTGCCTTTATGGTCTTACTGTCTGAACAGTTGAGGCAGCAGTAACTAGTGCTTGTGTGTGTATATATCTGTGTGTGCTACACAACCCATATCTTGATGTGTAACAGAACAGAACCAATGAGCTTGTGTTTGTTTCCTGTTTATCTGCAATGGTCCAATCTCCATATTTCACACACTCACTCACTCGGACATCCTCCCTTAACCTTTTTCTCTTCAAGTATATATTTAGTGCTGGGCCAAGGTCAAATTTTTCCCTATATGGCTTTCAGATGCAGATCTTTTTAGTTTGACTTTCCCCGGACTTCAATAATGTGTGGGAGGGAAATTCTGAAAGGAGAAAAAGGGAGAAGGTGGACAGATGAAAAGACCTACTCCTACTATTTTCTGTTTTATATAATTTAAAGAACAATGTCAGTAGTTCTGTAAAACTCTCAAATTGGGTCTTCATAAGGAAACATCTACCATACAAGCAAATCCCACCAAATTCTATATGTCGAATGAGTTTCTGAACGGGACTGAAGGGGCTTATTTTCCATCTAGTTCTTCTGGAATTGTCCCCCAGGGAACCAAGTGGAGCTTTTTCTTCTGCAGTGAAAATGTCTGTGTTACAGTCTCACAGAGAGGAAACTGTTTAACTGCTCGAAATTCAATACTCAGAGTTCACATATCATGATGTTGTAAAACAGAACACTGCAGACTCATCTTAAACTAC